CGAGGGAGGTATTGGGGACAGCAGGGATGGTAGAGGCAGGTCCCAGGGGGAGACTGGGGACAGCATGGGAGGACAGAGGGGACATTGTGGAGAGGGATTGGGGACAAGAGGGCTATAGGAGGGACATCCTGGGAAGGGCCTGGGGACAGTGGGTGCTACTGGGGGGACATCCCAGGGAGGGCTTGGGAAATGGGGGTGGGGTACAGAGGGGACATCCCAGGGAGGGACTGGTGACAGCAGCAGATACTGGGGGGACACCCCAAGGAGGGAGCAGGCACAGCAGGGGGCAATTGGGGACTGCAGGAAGGGTAGGGGGCACATCCCAGGGGTGTACTGGGGATGGTGGGGAGGACTGGAGCGACAACCTGAGGAGGGAGCAGGGACAGTGGGGGAGACAGAGGGGACATCCCGCAGAGACCCTGGGGACAGTGGGGAGGGCAGGGGGTACATCCCAGGGAGGGGCTGGGGACCCTGGGGACCCTGGGGACCATGGGGCCGGAGCAGAGCAGCGGCAGCGGGGGGCCCGGGGGGGGGGGCCCCACCCCCTGGCCCGGCCATGGGGACGCGCCCACCCTGGGTCACCGCAGCGATGTCCCCAGCTCAGCCGTGCCCCTCCCTACCTGCTCCTGCACCAGGGTGTCCCCGTAGAGCACCAGCCCCCGGGTCCCCCCCGGCAGCGCCAGGCTCAGGCTCAGGGCGATGGGGCTCAGCTTGTCCTTGAAGTCGGCCTCGTCCTGGGGACACAGATGGGCAGAGCACCCCGGCGGGCACCCTGTGCCCACCCTACCCCGGGACCCCCACCCACCTGGGCTAGGGACATCGCTGTCCCCATCCCTGTCCCCATCCTGGCTGAGGATACCACTGTCCCTATCCCTGTCCCCATCCCTGTCCCCATCCCAGCTGAGGATGCCTCTGTCCCTGTCCCTGTCCCCATCCTGGCTGGGGATGCCGCGGTCCCCACCCCTGTTCCCATCTGTGTCCCCATCCCAGCTGGGGATGCCGCTGTCCCCACCCATGCCAGCCCACGCTGGCACTGTCCCCGTACCCTCAGGTAGGCGGTGAGGTTGTGGCACAGCGGGGGCGTCCCCGGGGCCAGCTCCAGCACCCTGTGCCAGGACGACTGGTGGTCCTGAAGCAGCAGGACCCTCCGGGACAGCTTGGGCTTCAGCCGGTCCAGCTGCAGCTCGGCGTCCAGGCCTGGCAGGGCACAGCAGGCAGCGGGGACATGGCACCGGTGCCACCCCTGGGTGCCACCCCTCTTGTCCCCCCCTGGGTGACGCTGGCACTCACGGATGCTCTGGGGGATGTGCTGGCCTGTCACGCTGACACAGAGCACCACGGGGAAGCTGGGAGGGGGACAGCACCCAGGGGTTCTCAGGGACCAGCCACCATCCCCGGGGCAACGTCCGCACATGCTGGCAGTCTCCCCATGGCGGTGTCCCCATGGCGGTGTCCCCACGGCAGTGTCCCCACCACATGGCTCACCAGCTGACGCGGGTACGGGAGCCAGGCAGGACACATGCCAGGAGCTCGGGGTTCAGCCCGTCAGGGACACTCAGCTGGGCCTGGGCCACCACCACAGGCTGTCCCCTGGGACACAGGGACAGAGCTGAGGTGCCAGGGCACCCACACAGGGACTCCCCAGGCCATGCTGCCACCGGAGCCAGCAGGACAGGCACTCACTGGTACACGGCCACTTTGGCGGCCCCATAAGCCCCCACCAGCAGATCTGTGGGGACAAGCAGGGGGTCGGTGATGGTGTGTGTGACACTGGGGTGGCACTAGGGTGCTACGGTGGTGGCCACGCGGTGGGGCCATACCCGGGCAGCCGTTGCCGTCCAGGTCGGTGGCACCGCGCAGGGCGAAGCCGAAGGCAGCTGGGCCGGGGAAGGGGCTATCGAGGCGCTGGGTGGGCACCGGCATCAAACCCTCGCTCTGCCCGCGGAAGATGAAGACCTGCCCGCTGCCACCGTCACCCCCCAACGGGGCACCCACGGCCACGTCTGGGGACAGAGGGATCATGAGCACCCACCGGGTGCCCCATCCCCGCACCGCCTCCT